GCTTTTGGAAGAATGGTCAAAAATTCCTATAAACACACTCCTCAACCTTGTGGACAGCCTTCCCAGAAAAGTTGAAGCTGTAATAGCTGCAAAAGGTGGACCGACATCATATTGAACCCTATGGGTTAGGAATGGGATGGCACTTAAGTTCATATGTGAGTCAAGGCAGGTGACCGAATACTTTTGGTAATATAGTGTACATGCATACACTTGGATTTCATTTTTTTTCCCTACTATGCTGATTGCAGTGTTCTTCCACATACTATGCTGATATAAGTGTTACTTATTCTGTGGGTATGCAGCATTACGCTTAGTGCTCTGTGTTGTAATGTTACTGAGCTAATGTTGTTTTATATATTTATACCGTTTGATTATACTGCACTGTAGTGTTAACGGTTTGTACTCTTCTGATTCATAGTGTTTTAACACTGATTGTGTGGGAACATAGTGGTGCCAGTTTGTCCTAAATTAAACAAGGCTGAAGGATCAGTAACTCAAATCACCTCCGATTTTTTTTACACTGCAGTATAACGCACTCAGAAGAAAGCACTATCCACCCTCTTCTACATGCATGAGCTCACAGATGCCCACGATTGGCTAGTGTCACACTGATTGACAGGACAGAGAGAAATGCCATCCCTCACACCCAAAGAGCACAGCCATTTTTGCTCTCTAAACTCCTAGCCACAAGTATCCAGCTGCAAATCAAATCTTGCAAGACAATGGCATAATAGGTGAAAGATCTGTTTAAGTTCAGCAATACCAGCCTAGTTTCAGAGCCAAAATTACATCTTCAAACAAAACATTGACAATTTATGCTGGAGTCAGGATTACTGAGACCAGAGGGCAGAATGACAGAATGATGACATGATGGAGCATTACTGCAATGCCACATAACACAAGCAGTTCTATGTAACAGTAATTTTAAAGCAAATCAAAGGTGAAGTGCAAATATTTTAGCTGTCCAGTCAGCTATATTGTTAATTCAAAGATTTTTGCTGAGGGTATAATTTTAAATATAAAGGAGGCGAATATTGATTTGCATACTGGCAAACCTCCCACAGTAGGATTTGGAAAGCTTTTCTCAAATAACTCAATTTTAATTTCCATTAAACCCGTAAAACATATTTTAAACTTCATGTTATGGTCAGAAACTGTAACCTTGGTGAAGCAGTCAGTAAGCAATTTAATAGTTTACCATTAACCACTTGATAGTTTGCCATGAATGCATCAATTTCTGATTACAGTTTCAGGTTTTCATTCTACATCAGAATCAGGCATCTACCTTGTGACTGCCAGAGAGTTTTGAGCATAGATGTGCATAAATATGCAGCAATATTTTCTGATATAAAAGCAACCACTGTATTGGTCACAGGTTGTAGTTCATAATTCAAGATAAGCTTTCCCTTTCCTTTGCTAATCCTGATATGGTGCCCTTGACCAAAGTACTTAACCCCACATTGCAATCCCTGTGTCCTCCCCTTAGGCCATGCTTGTAAATGAGAATATGTTCTCAATGCAGCATCCAAGCTAAAAGAAAGGTCCTCTACCCTGAAGGCAAGGGCTCTACTGCACAATACTGGTCTCAATGAACCATGTAAGAGAGTGTTCCAGACTTGGCAAGGCTGTCTGTCTTTTTACCACTGATGAGTCTTATACTGCTAAAAGAATAACTTGATCATATAACAGATAAACCGATCAAGTGTAGTACAAATAAAAAAAAAAGTGTATCTAGGCCTTGGATATTGTACTTAGTAAAAGCTGTGTGTGTTTCAGTTACTTCATCAACACAGCTTTCAATTACTGCAGTGGGCAATGCAGTGCATAAAACGTAACTGTTGTTCTTTTGATACTGATAGATTTTACAGTCAGTAAGTTTTTGGATGACAATGAGTTCCACAGCCTGCAGACTGTCTTGATCATTTTAGTCTTCATGGTCCAGTACCTTTATGCTGAAGGGAGAGACATAATGTAGGACGTTAAGACGTTTTTTTTCGTCTGATGATAAAAAGGTTCTTGAAGGAGGGCACAGCCAATAATATTTTCCGCAGTCCAAATAATGTACTGATGCTTGAGCCTCTCTTGTGTGATCATTGACCCAAAATGTACATTTTGGGATGATGTAAGGGCAGACTCTTTAATGACTAATTAGAACTGTGACTTTTTCAACTGCTGTAGAAACTTTACAGTAAGGTCCTTTGAGGTGCTATTATTAATGTAGAGAGCACAGAGCAGAGGTGTGAGCACACAACCTTATGTAGCCACAGCGTTGGGGTTCAGAGGGTCTGATGATTTCTGTACTAGCCTCATACCAATTTCTGGCTATTTGGATGTCCCTGGTCCACCAACAGATGGAGACAGGCACAGACAGCAGGGACAGATTGCTTTGTATTAGCTGTGAGATTAAATGGGCTGTCATGTTTTTGAGATAGGCAAGAGGCAAGCCAAAGTCTTTCTAGAAATGTCTGTCCACTCAATGGTCATCTTGGCAAGGCTCCCGGGCTGATATTTTCAGTCATACAAAATCAGGATCCTATTTACCTGAATGGGGATAGACCCCATATACCTTTTTCAAAAAGAGGATTTAAAATGGCTGTTCAAATCTGTCAAGAACAGTGCAAGTAAGGTTTATTCTTTCACTCAAATAACACAAATGGATCCAGCTAATACTAATCCTACATCTGTGCATGCATCAATATAAGAATCAGTATAAGAATAGGTCAGGTGTTTTCTGGTAACGCCTTAACAAGAAGGCATTTGGCTCTTTTTACTGAGTGGCAGGTGGCAGGACTTATATAACACAGCCGCCATGCCACATTCGCATTAGCAGCAGTGGCCTTACCCTACTCTATATTATCCCTTGGCAAGCTCAAACATCTCAAAGACAGAAATAGTAGAGGAGACAGAAATTTATTGAAGATGTTGATAGTAATTGATCTGTGCTTCAGGGCAGAATAGTTTGGCTTTCAGTCTCCTGCAAAGTCGTTTTACCTTTTATGCATGCATCTTAAGACATGGCAATAAAGTACACATCAAGTTGGTGAATCATGAGAGGTAAGGAAACAGGGAGGAAACAATGGGCCTCATTTATCAAGAGGGATATAAACAGTTTTATTTGTAAATTGTTCATATAAGCATTTACACAGGAGGTTTGGTATTCCTGAAAATCCCAAATTTCAGAAAAATGTATATATCCTTCTCGCTTTCTTGAATGTGAGTAAATCTACACATAAGTCGTCTAACTAATGTAAACCTTGACTACATTTTAATCTACAGCTCACAATGTCAAGTGGAATTAGCTTGGGTATTTCAATTAAACATACAAATTTGATTAATAATTTGTGAAACCCAGTCATTTCATATTAAAGGCATTAAGTAAAGAAATATTAAATATGAAATAAATCAAGCAAGCAAACATAAATCCATATATTAAGACAAATAAGATCATGCATTCAATTTAGAATGCCGCCATATAAAAAGAGGCCAATTTCACAAGCTGAAATGTGCCATATACTCCCTAGTGTGCTATCGTTGGGCCTCCTATGACACTCACATGCCTTCTTGCTTTTCCAACACGGGGTTAGAGAGGATGTACTGGCACATTCTGGCCAACATTCGCTCATACACTTTGCTTTGAATGAAAAAAAAAAAAAAAAAGCAGTTTCCACAATCACCTGGGTACATTAGATACACTAGGTACAACATATAACTAGGAATTTGAATTAAATTATTTTTATTGGCTTAAATCTGCCTTAAATCAACCCAGTAGTCAATGGTGGTGGTGTTCTTTCAGATGCTCCCATTAGGGGTTGCCACAGTGGATCACCTTCCATTTTGTCCACATATTTATTTGGCAGTGGTTCTACACTGGATCCCCTTCCTGACACAACCATCTCCATTTATCAGGGCTTGGGACCAGCACTGAAAGTACACTAACCTGAACTCCCCCACTGGCTGGGGTTGGCACCCAGCATGGGGTTCAAACTCATGCTCCTGAGCTCAAGAGGCCCATGTACTACCAACTGAGCTAGCCAGGCACCAACCACCACAGGAAGACTGGAATAGGAATGGGTCAATGATAAGATGTGAAAACAGTCTAACATGCTCATTCTTTTGCGTCCATGTCAGTTCTGTGGCTTCAGCATTTTGCACCAGGTGCATATTGTCTGCTGTCTTTTCAGGTAGTCCAATGAAAGATGTATTATTTCTGTATGAGAAAAGCCAAAAGCATAGATCTGCTTCTTGACCCTAGTATTGTGCCTGGTTAAGAAAAATCACACACAGTGACACTAATGTATGATACTGAATGTAGGCTAACACCAAAGTTTTACGCTTAAGGTTACCTGTAAAGCTCGATTTCTCAGTTGAGTACTAGTAGTGATAATAAAAATCTCTGTTTTATCATTATGTAATTTTAGGTAGTTATTGTTCATGTAGTTTAAAATGCAGGAAAGATAATACTGAATTAGTCCAATAGTTCCTGGCTGCAGAGGTGCACTCTTTAGCAAATTCACGCTGTGCCAAAACTGCAAAAGTGGCTCAGCAGTCATTTACTGTTGGCAGTTTCTGCTAATTATGTGCAGACAAACCTTAAACAGTATCATGATAGTTTTCTATTCTCTGTCAAAATCACCAATAATTAGTTATCCCACATTAATTAACCATAATTCTAAATTGCAAAGCTAAAATTACATCCAAAAATACTACCCACTCTGTTTAGGGATGTAACGCAATGATATTATCTGCATCTGTACCTGTTTAGTGCTCTCCATATCTGTATTAGGAACTGAATTTTTTTTTTTTGTTGTTGTTTTTTTTTTTTTAAATACGAATCCTTCCACTGTGCCCCGGGAAACACTGGAAAAAACACAGCAGTAAAAATGCCAGATGCCAACACTGTCAGTACTGGCTCTGACAGTTCCTCAACCTCAGTTGCATCACTCAAGTCCATAATTGGTTGAGATGAGCACAGGACTGTTTTTCAAATCCCGCTTGTGCAGTCATTATTTCTGTTTGTACCTGCCCACCATGTTTTCTAAAGAATGTAGTTGGTTCAATATCCCAAAATACAAAAAAACAAACAAACAAAAAAAAAATCAGATAATTAAATGAAGACTAATATTAAATACTGTGAGACCATTATAAGTTGTCTCAGTGGAGGTATGTACAAAAACACAATAGAAAATAAAGCATCAATCCTTGTGGCACACTTTAAAAATATTTCGGATTTCTGATGCATACATGTTGCTGCCTCACAGCTTCAGGGTCTCTGGTTCAATCCTGAGCTTGACTTATTCTCTGTGCAGAGTTTTGCGTGTTTTTCCTGTGTCTATGTGGGGTTCCTCTGGGTTCTCCAGTTTCCTCCTACATACCAAAAACATGCCAGTAGGTGGACTGGCTAAGATAAATTGCCCCTAGGTGTGAATGAGTGCGTGCACGTGTATGTATAGTGCTCTGT